ATATGTTTACCCAGTGCATAAGTATTTCAGGTTTTCGTCCAGTCTATAGCCATTGGGGCAAATGCCAGCTAAGGCAGTGGACGGAGCGGCGGGTCAAAGCCATGGCTAGTGGCAGGCATGTAATTTGCATTTTGCAAAGTCCAAAATGAACTAATAAGCACACACACACACACACCGGAAGCCGAGTCCACAAATTGTCGATGTTTGCAGCGCAAATCGTATTACCAGGCGGGGTCGGTATCCGCGATCCCAGCGAGAAAGAAAGAGGTCTACGCAGCGCAGTTTCAGTGTCCGCTGGCACACGGCTAATAGGCAGGCAGGCAGTCGCGAATACTTGGCTCAAATTGAAAGTTATTTAATGCAGAAGGAGAAGGTCGAGCTCCGGGTGAGGGTGATGGTGAGGTTGAGGGTGAGGCCAGGGGGTGGCGCGGCCTATGAGGTTACGGAAATTGTTACGCGGTGCTTGGCCAGGCCAAGAAAATGGCAACCTTAACAACAACAACAACAACTGGGAGTTGTTTTCTGTAGTATTTTTTTTTTACAAATAAGATTCAAAAAGTTTATGCCGTTGGCTGTCAGGACTTGGCAAATGGGCAGTCGAAGCTGAGCGGGGGTGAGCCTGCCAAGCTGCGTGTGACTCGCATTCGCCGGAGGATTCCGTGCGGGGACACTGAATATTTAACAAGCGGCTGCGGAAGAGGAAACCAAATGGCGCAAGTGTTGCTCAGTTTAATCTATTTCCTGCACGGTATGCCTCGAGACCAGGGAGATAGTCTGACTGCCTGCCTGGTGGCTAGCTCGCCGGCCGATCCGCACAATCTTTAAATACACAAATTTATCGTTTCATAAAAAGCCAAACTTCACTTAATTCCGTGAGACAACAAAATTTCTCGGCTCGCCGCAAGTAAATTCATTTTCCCGTAAATATTGTCTACGGCGAAACTTAATTTACCAACAAAGTGCGCAAGAAAATGTGCGGTTAAAAAATCATACATATAAACGAAAATTATAACATTTCTGGAAACAGCGTTTTGTCGAATTCAACGATTTTATGCAACTGCGGCCGAAATGCGAAAAGTTTTATAAATCACAAGTGGCTTAGGCACAAGGTGAATAGGTAAAAAGAGGTACTTATTCCATATTAGACTAAACTCTCTGTGAAAATTCAAAAAATGTCCCGACTGCTCAAACCACGAATTTCACCTCGAATACCAACCCATCAGCTTTTACCTCCAATGCAATTTCAAAAAATCTATCCCTGGATAAAAATGAGGTCCAAAATGGTGAGTTTTGGCCGAACCGCATCTATATTAGGGCAAGAGATGGACTTTACTATTGACTTCAATCTAATTTCGAAAGGCATAAGAACAAAAAAGTATAAGAATATTTAAATATCTTCCAGGGCCGGAAAATGGTTAGAAAAGCGATTAAAATTTAAATATAGAAAAGGCTAGGCAGGGTAATATGCCCTGGCTCTCTCTATCTCTCTCTCTCTCTCTCTCTCCATCTCTCTTTCTCTCTCTCTCTCTCACTCTCTCTCTCTCTCTCTCTCTCTCTGTCTCTCTCTGCCTCTCTCTGTCTCTCTCTGTCTGTCTATGTTAGGACAATTCAGACGTGCGATCACATTTTACGATAGATCACACTTATTGAATTGCAAATACTTAGGAGCTGCGATTCAACTTTTTGGAACGTGTTTTTTTTTAACTTCCCTAATTATATTTAAAAAATATTTAGCCATAAACTTTTCAGATTTCCTTTCTTTATACAAACTTTCCCTGGAGAAATGAATGTTAATGTCTTAAAAATGTGGCAAAAGAAAACACGCTAGCCACAAAATTGTTTTCAAATTAAGATGGCAATTTTTAGCGACCAGTGCCCATATTCACGGCTAGAGAACCATGGTAAAGCACCCCAAAATACGATAGGAAGACCTGGTCAGGGGTCAGGTGGTGTGTGTGTGTGTGTGTAGGGGGGGCAAGAACTTATGCTGAAGCTCGACGGCAACGAAATTTGATTATGTTCGCGGTTACACTTCATTCGGCTCCCCCTTCCCCTACCCTGCGCCATGGCAAATTGACATAAATTGTTTTTGTTGTTGTCTTTGGAGCCCTCACTCAAAGAATTTATGCGATCAATTAAATTTTTCGAATGACCAAAAAGTTGTTTTGCTTTTTAATTTTCATAAATTTTACTTAAATGCTTTCATACTTCGATAGTAAATTTCATTTCGGCCGGCGCTTAATGTGTCAAGCTTTTTTTTTTTTGGGCGAGTTATGAAAATCATAACAAGATTTTATGATGATTAGAGAATTTAGATATCGGGGCGGGGCATAGGGCATATGAAATATACACACTCGTTAGCATTAGAATTTATTGCAAATGAGCAAAACTTTTTCAAAATTAGAATGCACAAAAAGTCAGGCAGGGCAGTGAAAGTAAATCAAATGTAAATCATCGACAGCAACCAAGCGATCCTGGACCAACTTTCATCTTTCAAAAGTCCGGCAGCAGCAGCAGCAGCAGCAGCAGCGGCAGCAAAATGATATACAACACATTTTGTGGAACCTTTACAACTAAATGCGGATAATCTGTAAGTTTGCTTTACCAAATTTATGTGAAACGGGTGGAGTTTTCCCTATATTCTTCATGCTGCTCCTGCTGTTGGCTGGCCTTGTTGTTGTGCTTTTTCTTGGTTCCCTGTATAGTTTTTCAGCTACCCCCTCGTATCTGGTGCCAGCCGCCCAAAACTAAAACATGCGCATTCAATGGGCGTCCGTCCCATCCGGGCAACACCCACCCCAGCCCGATCCTGTTGCTGCAATTCATTTCCAACAGACGGGTGTGTATGTGTGTGTGTGTGTGTGTTCGTTTGGAGCAGTGCTTCTCGGTATATGTGCGGAGATTTACCGTTTTATACTTGACATTTCCAAAAGTTTAAGTTTTAATTTATGACACCGCCACTTTCTATACGGGGCGACAAGCTAAATATGAGCGTGCGGAGGAGGAGAAGGGGCGGGCATCCTTAAACAGGATATCTAACTATTGTCGTTAGTCTTGAGGCGCTCGTCCAGCTCATCTTTACAATACGCTCAGCTTTCTATGCTGGCCATTTGTTCATTTAAATGGCCACAGAGGGGATCCAAGAACAGCCCTGCGGTGGAACAATGTTGCCGAAATGGATTCTTATACAAGATATAATTCATACAAGTAAATCAATTACTACACAAATATTATTAAAGCGAACTATGGTTTAGGTTAACACCTGGTTGGAAACTTCCGAACCAGCGTTTTAGACCTCAATAAGATCATTTATTTTTTCATCTACAAATACACTTGAATTTAATTTGCCAAAAAAAAGAGAACAATCAACATCAAGATCCAACGATTTGGGAGTGCGTGGGTATAACATCGGATACTCGTACCTTTCAACTCCTATTCAGCAAAAATTGAGAATTTGTTATCACTTGAAAAGCGGTAAACTTACCCGGCAGCGATTGATTTTTAATCCGATTGCTACAAAATTTCTCAATTAAAAAAATCTAGAACCAACGATTTCGGCGAGTATGGTGCCAACTGGGGCGCTCATAATTACCGACACCTGCTTCGGGAGTATATTATAAAGATATTTATGGCAATATTGGCAATAATTGCATTACCTGGTAGGGAATTGTAGTTATCACCACCACCCCGGCGCATTTCCGAGGGAGAACTATAAATAGAAGCTATAATGCTATATCACTTGTATTATTTCCAATTATACTTACTACAATCCATTTCGTGAATCGTATCGTCGATTCTCCATGCCGTGTCTCATAGGGGAGCGATAGCCAGCGCCTCTATAGGGATTGGAATCATCGTCATCGTGATAGTTCCTAGGCCTTTGGGGATACCAATCGTGACTACCGTAATTGACACAGTCGCGAGAGTATGACCTCATCTGATCCCCATCCTCTGGTCGCTCACATCTGTAACCAGTCTGGGCGACATACTGTTGGTAACACTGCACGAAATTCCGGAGTACTGAAAATCCACAACAATTAAATATAAATTCAAAGTGAGCTCACATCAATCGCACTGTCATTGTCGGGTGCTGCCATGCCGTAGGTCTCCATAATTTTGAAAATTTAAAAAAAAATGAATTTGAATTTTTCGTAAACCGAAAAAGTTGTTTTTAGCCTGAACGTAAGAACAAAAATGAATTTTAGAAATATAGCACAAGCCTCGTTCCCTTTTTGGGTTTGCATGGATAACTAGACTGTTTGCATTTATTGGTTTTATACCCAAAACTAAACTAAGTGCTTGCAACTATGTAATAGTTATTGATTTTAATTAAAAATAATTAACTAGGCGGTTAAAATAAAAATCGATGGACCAAGCACCAAGAATTTGAAGGTATTTCTGCCAACACTTGTTTCGACTTCTTTTCATTTTTAAAACATAGTTTGAATATGCTGATTAATATAGTGTTATCGTTTAACCATTTTCGTAAGACCAAAATTCGATTATGTCATTCCAATAGTCGATATGTCAGCTTCTGTTTCAAATACGTGGGAAATGTATATGTGTATGCTTATATACGAAGATCAAACTTACTTTCCGCTATTATGACATTATTTTTTATGTATATATCTTATTTGTTTTACCAAGAATCTGCCAGCGAATTTGGCTTTTGCTTGACGTCCTTAATATTGCCTTGCTGTGCGATTCTCATGAAGTCGAGTAGATAGGATTTCTTGCCTTTAATGAACCCTTGCCCCTGTTTTCCCTTTGCTTTGCTGGCTGATTCCTGGCAATACAAATAAAATATATATATTATAATAATGCTGAATTTGGCGGCCGATGACCGACAAATTATAATTGTTGCGGGTGAAATTTTCTAAATCGCTAAAACACGAATCGCACCTTTTACCGAGTATGCTTTAATTCTGCGAAAAGTAAATAATGTTATCTTTTTTTTTTGCTTAAAACTCAACGTAAGATCGAAGCAAATGTTTGTATTTAAAATGGACTAGAAATAGTTTCTATTTTCCTTTTAAAATTTCTAATTTGCTAATGATGTATAAGTGCGTATATGTGAGAGTGTGTGTGTGTTTGTGTGTGTGTGTGTGTAAAGTAACTTTAGCTCTAAGTCCATGGGCTCAACATGAAAGCTGAAATCCCTCTGTCCACCAGGCTAGCCAGGAAAACCCTGCACGTTCTCTGTGAGGATGATGAATTTGGACATTTTGTGTGCGCAAAGTCACTTGCTTAAAAGTTATTAGGGATTAAAAGAGTTGCGGCTGTGGACACAAATGCGCTTCGGAATCTGCTTCATTAGAGACAGAGGCCATTGCATGGGACATGGAACTGTACAGGCAGGACATGTGTGTAGTCTGTGTGTGTGTGGGTAGGTAAACACCTTTGGTGAAAGTTTTTGAAAATACTAAAAGGAAATCACTTTAGACGTCCTGCAGAACGGTCCCAAAGAAAACGCAGCAGCACCAAAACTTTGCGCAGTCATGCCTCCTGAATACCGCCCCCAAATCCACCTGAACCCAACCAAAAAGCCCAAGTTTTTGCCGGAGAAAGCGTGAACGATTATGACTACCAATCCTGACTGCTCCTGACTGGCTCTGATGGCAGGCAGCGTGGCGTTTTAATATTGGCCGCTGTAACTTTTGAGACATCTTAATTCCCTTCGAGATAAATCAAAAATGGGTAACCAGATCAGCGAGTGTATCCATTGAGTCCGGGGGCTGGTTTTTGCTACACCAAATTTGTATTTTTATTTACATTTTCAACTTATGCATTTTTATGAGCTGCGCTTTGTGTGGGTGTAAGTGTGTATGGATGTGTATGTGTGTGTGTGTGTGTGTGTGTGGTTTATCCTTTCATAAATGCGTCCAACGGCCAACTGATTTATGCCACCACAAGCTGGCGCTGCTGGCAGCCGGTTGCATCTATTGACCCCCTTGCCACACCGGCGCTGGCAGTCGCTTCCTGACGACGTCGACGGCAACAAAGTAACAAAACAGCAAACAAAAATTCCAGAAACAACATAAAACCGATTGATTTATTTTGACAATGCTCCATGCAGTAGTGCCTAGCTACACACGGAACCCAAGTCGGAGTCAGAGTCAGAGTTGGTGGGTCTGAGGCCAAGTCCGGCTGCCATTGTTTGCACAGGCGTCGCTCGGCCCCATCGACATGTTCCATTCGCATTTCGGACCGTCAGCAGCACCAGCCCCAACCATAGCCCAGACTCAGTCCCTGTCCCGGCCGCCCCCATCACCTTGCCTGCAAAGTTGTCCTCTTTGTCGGTTTGTAAAATATTTTATTTGCACATCTTTCTTATTTTAATCCTTCATTGCATTCTGTTTGGTTTGGGCGCCTTGAGCTCCACCCCGGGTTCGGTCTGCATGCAGCCAGTGTGGGGGAGCGGGAGCCGGTACGAATACAATTCCGACTTCGTGTGTTTCTATGTTGCGGCAAATGCCCATAAAACACACGTTAATTACCCTACAGTAGCCAAGCCCCAAACCCGAAATCAAGCTTTATCATTTATCCCTGCAAAATTATTTAATGCAAACAAAAAATTATCTCGTAGCGTTCCCGGGCGTTACTATCCGTCCCACCAAGATAAGCTAACCACATTCTCTGAATTGATGGATTATCCGTAAAGCAAGTAACATATTCGACACGAAGCCCATCTGAGGTTATGCAACGTTCTTCCACCAATTTCACACATCTGCGGGTGGAAACAGTGGTAAATCGGTCAATAAAAACAATTCCTCGTAAAGAGATAGTAGGAAGTATATAATTTGTTACAATTTTGGCGTAAGTATGTGGAATGCGTAAAACAAATGTAGAACTATTCACAAGGATTCGTACATTATTCTGTTAGGGAAGCATTGACTGACAAACATCCGTCCTGGCATTCATTATATGACCGAAAACGAACTTTTACTACGAAAATAACCAATAATAAAGAATGGATATCGAGACATCACCATTATTGCCAATATGAGTTGACCGTGACGGACTGTCCAATGGAATCTGAAATATAGTTTCATATTTATAATCTCTGTCTTAGATTGTGTATTTCATGCACATACCATCCGCAAATTGAGGATATTCGGGCTGCTTATGGCCCCTATCATTGGGTGTACTGTTGGTAGGAGAATCACAGCTTAGTCGATATGGGTCATGGGACATATGTATGATATTCATCCGATTACTTACTACAAACCATTGCGGGCCAACATTTCCCGGGCTCGTCGATTGTGACGGTCCATGCTACGATAGGCGAACGAGCTATTTGTTACCGAATGCCGGGGTGGGTAATCCTCATTGCATCCGTAAGGCGAATGGCCAAGATCTGGCTTGCAGCCGCTGTCGTAATAATCGCTTTGGAATTGTTGGCCGCTCAAATGTGGAGCACCCGCCTGATCGTAGCTCTTGTTTGTGCCGTTCATCTAGGGGGCGATAGGCAAATTGAATCAAAAAATTATATCCGTGGAAAATGCGGGACTCGGCATACCTCGGGATAAAATAATTGAGGAAATGGCATATTGATTCGATAGCCACCAATTTGTGCATTCTCAAAGTAATCCATAATTTTATATACAATTTTAAACTGAACCAGGATTAAGAAAAAATAACCTATGCCAAAATATAGTAAATTTTTAGGTCGAATCGAAGATAGTATTTGAGTTACAAGCTCTGAATGAATACTGAAACTGTTTTCCATATGCTGGAAAACAATTTACCTTAAACTTAAAGAAAAGCCAACTTGACTGGGCAAGAAATAAATCATGAAAATTCTTCAACTGTATAAATAATTATGGCTGCTTGGCGAACTTTCGAAATTTTAGTAAAGGCCAGACCTCGAGCCGGCTATAATGATAATCTTAACTCAAAAGCATATTACCTAACGAAAAAGGGGTACGACTCAAGAGTAGATCTTCCGCCTAATAATGGCCTCTTTAGGGCAGGCGTATCCACGCTATGCACACTTCCACAAATTGCGGACATTTATACCCCGGATTCCAGTGCAGATTTTTTGCGAACGTGGCAACGCTCTGCATTGTAAATATTTGCAACGCGTACTAAATTTTGCCAATGAAACAAGAATCAGGACTTCACATATTTCCACAGAAAGCAAACTAAATTTTTAATGTTTTATTTTGCATACTTCCTGATTGTTTCCGATTGTAAATTATTATCAAAGTATTATTTATGTAGCCTTTTAATTGAAGGATGGCAGTAATACGATTAACCTTACAATCTGTAAGCACCTGCTAAAAGGCAGACCGCGCATCGAAATAAAATTTAAGACAAACATTGTGTTAACTGGGCATTTATTTAATAAGTAACCGAAATGATGAAATATAAGAAACACATTTTTCCAAGCCAGCAAACGGGGGCGCACTCAAATATAGATATATTGGGACTAGTAATAAGGGTTGCCGCCTTGACGGGACTGGCCGTACATTTGACCCTCGGCACCACCAATTCCTGGCAACGAGCTATAATAGTCGCCGTTTCCTCTGCCCGAGCGCTGATCCGTTGGCGAGCTGTATCGGGGGGTTAAGAGGGTATTCCATATTAAGATTGGACTAAAATATCGGATGCACCTACTAGAGTCCGTTGCGCGAGTTCATTTCTCTTAAGACTTTTGTGTATCGCAGTGGGCTGCGGTAGCCGGGACCTCCAAAGGAAGCCGATCCGCTCTGACAGTTCCTCGAGTCGTCATAGGACTGCAGTCCACCGCCATAACCACGCGGCTGAAGGAAATCCTGACCCATTTCTGGTGCCTGGCCGTCGGGAGCGGACATACCGTAGCCTTCCATAGACTGATATTGACCATTTCCGTTAGCTTGACCGTAATCCATGTTCTATCTTTTTTTTTTTTTTTACGTTTTTCACACGATAAATTTACCGAAAATTTTGAAAAGCCGTAAAAGATTCTATACAAATTTTTTTGGATACTTTACTGTCCGAAAAGTTATTTGTAAATAAACATATGTCCGACTGAGATCGGGACAGGCCACATTTGAATCGAGCTCATGGCTAGTTTGATCCAAGAAAATGTATGTAAAAATGGAAAACAAAGTTCTTAATATCTTGGAAGCTGTGCCCAACCATCGCAGATTTATGAGTCCATTTCCTTAGCTGGCCAATTTCTTAACCCATTCGGACGGGGCTTATCGCAGCAGCCGCAGTGCAAGCAAAGTTTTTCAGTTTTCTTTCAAAAAAAAAAAAAAAAAAAAAGCCTCTAAAATCGCCATAATGGAAATCAAAACGCCGACCCGCCTCCCCTCTCTCGCTGAGCCAATGAATATGCAGAAGCTGCAGTAGTCGGCGAATAATTAAAATCGAGCAGCTCCTTGGGGAGGATTACACGAGCGCAGCCTCAGAGATACGGGCCACACTCCTTACGGTCGACAATTAAGTGCGCCGCGTAATCTGTCTGTCGTAATTATGGCTCCACGGCGTATTTATCTGCTGCAATTAGCGCCGTGCACGAGTCGCATATTTCACAGATCCAAAGATTGAATTGCACGGACCAAATTTGCATTGCGCTTAGATGCAGAGCTGGGTCCTTGGCCTCGGCCCGCTAGCGAGTTGCGCAAGTTTATGTCTTTAATTAAATTTCGATAGGAAAAATTGCGCATTTAACGCGGTAACAACAGTTTATTATTCAGGTAATTCTTTGCAGTAATATTAACAGAAGAACTCTCCATTCTATTCTGGAAGAACATTTTGTAGAGCGCGCAGGCTCAAAGATGCAGGCCATTTATTACAATAATATATTTATTATAATAATCGGTAGTTAATAATCTATATGTTTTCTATAAACTACATATATTTTTTTTCATACATATAGCCCAAGAATGTTTTTATCTGCTCATAATAATAATTATCCACGATTCTTTAACTATAAATATAAAAATCTGCAGTTCCCTTAAATTGAATCTGCTGAATTCAAGATATGCTATAAAAATTGTGTTGCTGTCGAAAACATATTCAGAGGAATCATGAAAAATTGTTTCTAATATTTATTAAGGCCACAACAATATTTGCAGCTATTATTTTAGTTGCGATTTATCGAACAAATTCTTTTTAAATTTTTGGGACCATATTCATATTTCTTATATACACTACAAAAGTCAATATAAATAGTATTTATATTATATTGACCCAACTGCATATCTAAAATTACGCTGAAGGAAATCTCCTTGGAACTGGAATCTTATAAACTTTGCTATACATTTTATCTACTCTCTTTGGGGCTTTGAAAAAACTAACTGTGTCTAGGATTGGCAGTAAATATGAAATTTGATCAAACTCCTGGATATTATCTGCCCAGAGCGAATGGATCGCTCGAGGAGGTCTTCACGTAATAGATGCCAGCCTTGGGTACGGATGGTTCTCCGCCCATTCGATGCGCTTGCCGCTGGCTCTGGTCACACTGCCACTTGCGCTTCTCCCGCCTGCAGGGCGTGCCCCAGAAGCCATTCGGAGAGTTGATGGACTCGGCGAACATCTGATAGGCGCGTATGTGCGAGCAGCCCAAGTAGAAGCAGTTGCGTTGATAGAGTCCATAGTTCGGATAGAAGGTGGCGCTGCCCGTGGGCTTTAGGAAGCCAAAGTTGCCGCTGGTATGCATGGACTCCACATACTTGGCATCGCTGGGATCGATGCGAAACTGGGCACTACGATGGCGAAATTTCGGACCAGCCGGATCCAGGGCGAAGATAGTATTGTACTGCTCGGGCTTCAGGCGTTTGCCCGCTGCACCGGCTATTTGGGCGCCCAGCGAATGCCCAACCAGATACATGTCATCGTAGTTGGCATGGAACTGGCGATGCAGATCTCGTGTGAACTGCGCCAGCTGGGCACCGAACTCCTCGATTAGTTGGACCACGGAGAAGTAATTGATATTGGCGGAACTGGCGCTCCAGTCTGTAACGATGACATTATAGTCGCCGTGCTTCAAATAGGCGTTCTTCACGTCCCGATTGAAGGAGCCGCGCGACTGGCTCATCCAGCCGTGTATGATGAGACGAGTGGGCAGCGATCTATTGAAGCCGGTATGGCGCCACTTCTGATCATTTTGGAAGTCCATCTCACGTCCGCAATCGGGAAACTCGCGCTTGAATAAATAGAAGAGCATGCGATGGCGTGTGGTGCCAAAAGGATTCAGATTCCCGGCAATCTTCTTCAGGAATGCCAAGTCTAGGAAACTGCCAATGCCGCGCGGTTCACTCAGATCGTTGTCACACTTGTTCCACGCACAATGCTCGGCGCCCTCGTACTCATCCGCCTCCAGCGTAGACTTCAGATCGTCGGGCTCTTCCTCTTCAAAATCTCCGCGTATGCCTATGTCAACCTCCTCAGGATCTGGCACCAGGTCCATAAACTCGCCCATTTCCGCTTCGTAAGCCTCATCGATATGGTTGCTCTGGGCTGTAATGGAACCGGCCTTACTATAGGATTTTCGTCTAACTTCCATTGGTAAAACTTTTACTTACCATGCGCTGCGGCCATTAGCAGGACTACGGCAAGTATTTTAAACCACATTTTGACTCGAATCAGCTCTAAAAGATCTACACAAAGCGTCTATTAGACTCTGCTGGGCACGTTCAGCTCACACGCCTGTTATATATACGCCAACTAATCAGGGTCTGAATCTGAACAGGGAGCCAGCGGCGTAGCGCCTAGAACTTGTGCCCCCATTGCAAGCCAGTTCCCAGAGAACGATCAGCTGCCAACGCCTCTGTAGCCATCATCTGGCAATCTAAGCTCAATCGAACTGGCATTGCCCACGGCAGCAGCCGGCACGCGTTTCCCAGCTAAGCAACTCTCCGATTGCAGCTGATTTCTAATTGAATTACCGGTTCTATATATACTATATACTGTACGTATTAATACACATCGAGTGTTTGAACTTTTATGACTCTGTCTCGATGACGTTTGGGAATTTCTTTAATTCGTTTGGGGCGTTTTTAATTGCAGATTTGAATCATGCTATTTTTCACCTTATAAATTAAATGACATAGGTGCAATGGGTCAATTGGAAATGTTAATAATTAGCAGAATGTCAATAGTTGTCATTTTTACCTGGAAGATCATCAATCGTCAAGTATACATTTTTTCCTACTAAAATGTGCAAAAATGTTTATATGTTCTTGCCAGATTAGGACGCCAAGCTGATCTAGAGGCCATGGCATGAACAAAGAGCCAAGCCTCATTTAAATCGGATGAAACCGATTTATGTGAGTGGGAAATATTGACCTATGTCCTTTTTCACAAGAATTTTTACCAAGCATAATATTGCCAGATTTAGATGCCAAATTGATTTTGTATATGTATATCTATGTATATGTGTATGTATGCATGTGTATTTATATGCATGCATCTATGAATATAAGAATTAATGCATGCATTAATGTATGAAATTAGTGTTATGAATGTATGTGTATATATGTGTGCTTGCATGTGTGTGTATGTGTGACGCGTGTGTATGTATGTATGCGCGTATATATGCATGTAAGTTGTCTTCTAATAGCAGAGCCATTCGCCTTGTTGCGCGGCAAATTTAAACAGAAAACGTATTTATTAAAGCTGCCCTCCTCCTCGATTCTCAAAAATTTAAGTAAGCCTTCCAGGTTTCACCTATGAATTAGGCGCTGGCTCCTTCAGCGCTGGAAGCTGTGAGGAGCAGGAGGAGGAGTACCAAGGAGGGGGCGTAAGGTTGTAGGTATGTATTTAAGTATGTATGTATTTAATTATGTATGCATGTATGTAGGTATGCATGTAGGTATGTATGTATTTAGGTATGTATGTACATATCCAGGTATGTATGTTTGTAGGTATGTATGTGTGTATGTATGTATGCATTTATGTAAGTATTTAATTATGTATGTATTTAAGTATGTACGCATGTATGTAGGTATGTATGTATGTATATATGTGTGTATGTATATTTATGTATGTATGTATGTATGTATGTATGTATGTATGTATGTATGTGTGTATGTATGAATGTATTTATGTGTGTATGTATGTATGTATGTATGAATGAATGTGTTATATTGTTGCCTGATCTAGACTTAATATATAAATTATTTTGCTTCGTTTGTCTTATGGAAGTTACATAATGAAATCTCAAGTGTTGCATCGGTTCATTCCGCTCCTAATAGAACATTTTATTGTATGTTGATTAACAACATAAATGTTTTTGTCATGATTTTTGATATTAACATTTTTTACCTATTACCTTTATATATAAACCTTTTTTCACCTTTCTTACACACTTATATTTCGAAATATTTTTATTATGAATAATATCTTTGAACATATACTTAATAATTTATTTTATGAAGCAAAATAAACTCGCAAAAAGTAACGGGTTTGTATCATGTGCAACGTATCAAACAGCTTTGAGTCGTCAGCCAGCATTTTTTGTCAGTGTGGTAAAGGTGGCATCACCATAGCTAATCGATAAACTGCAAATATATCGATAGTTGTTCTTATGGCTTCCATGTTATCAATAACAAAGAACAATCACAATTGTAAATACCAATTGCCTTCCGTAAAGATAGCCGCACATCGCGGTTACAACAAATCAATAGAATGAGTCTTGACGACGTCATCTACGTAATATGCCTGCTGGCCTGCATTGGCGCCGGAAGTTACGTGAAGAAAATCCGCGATGAGTCGCAGCGCAAATGCATTTGCTCAATGCTGGGCATTATTGTTGTTGTTGTCGTCTCGGGCTTCCACAGCCTGCACTGTGCCATCTCCGCCGCACTGGGCACGGCCAGTGTGCTCCTAGTGCATCCTAGGTAAGTGGCATGTTTCTCTGTATATGTGTTTTCCTTTCATATTCAATCTTAACTTATCCACATTAACATAATTCCAGCAAGTGTCACTTGGTCACATTTGTCGTAATGTTTGGCTATCTGGTTTTCTTCCGGCTTGTGTACCTCTTTGGCCTACCGGCGGTGCCCGGCCATACCAACATGATACAAATGTTGCTCACACTGAAGGTTAGTTGCATAACTTTAATTGGCCTAGCCTTGACCGGCTTTTCTTAACTATGCACTTAGGTGTCTGGCATTGCGTTTGAGAAAACCGCAGCCTGGAAGCGTTTAAAGGCACGCGACGAACAGGACAACAACGAGCAGCGAGATGTCAACAGCGAGCCCAGCATCGAAATTACGGACTACGATATAGACTTGCAGAAACTGAGTGCCACAGAGATTGTGCACTATAGCTTCAATTACGTTGGCATACTCACAGGTCAGTGTACAAATGCCATGAATATATTCATGTATTCCTAATCTTATTTTAAAGTCAAGATACAGTAGAAGCTCGCTTGCGTGCACATCAACAATTCCAGGTTTTACTTCTGCTAAAGTATAGTGCTTAAGAGAAATGTCAAACAAAAGCTGCCATGTTAAAGAAAAAATCCGTCTAATGAAAATGTTCGTTAAAAGAATCTTCACTGTAGTTGCCATTGCATGCACTTTGTGCATATGCTTGTAGCCTGACAAGTATGCAATCTATGCCTTCACCTTGAATTGCTTGCTTGCTGTACAATTTGCAGCCGGTGCCAAAGTCCATTTATTTAGTTGTCTGAACTAAAGCTGAACCCACAAATAGTAAACATTTTATGGGTGGTTATCTATAGATGCGAATTATCACTGTACATGCACTTACCCGTCTTATCTATACGCATTGTCTGCATGTCTTTCTATTTATAAACGAATATTGCAGAATTCCATTTAGAACTTATTAATAAATCTTTATCTTAAATTGTTCAAACTATTAAGTTGATGTAGGAGCTTAACTTTTTTTTAAATTCATATCCATTTCTTTAAATTATTTTTATAAATTTTTAATATTTATAAACTACATTTTTGCTTTAAAGCTACTTTCTGCCTTACTTTCATTTGTCATATTGTGTTTTAATAGTTTACTTATGAAAAACTGAAGCAACTTGAACGAAAATTCCATTTTAAGACTACAAGCAAATAAGTGAAGACTTTAACGAAATAACAATAATTATTTACATTTTGATAAGAAAAACATAATTATGTATGTATTTAACAACTTCTTTGGATTTACCATAATGCAATATATAACTAATTTCGTATCTTTCAGGCCCATATTATCGCTATCGTACATATCGTGACTACTTTGAGATGCCCTTTAAGAATCATGCGCCCTGCGCAGAGGCAACTATCGAGCAGCTCAAATCGGCTGTCTTCTACTGCAGTCTATATCTGCTGGCCAACTACATTTGGCCACTGGAGGTGAGTACATGAGCCTGTAAAACAAGAATGAACGAAATTTAATTTTCTATTACTTTTAGTACGCGCTTAGCGATGAGTTCTACAACGATCGATCCGTTCTCTACCGCCTTTTATATGTGTGGCCCACATTCTTCATTTTCCGCGCACGCATCTACACCGGTCTGACATTGAGCGAGTGCGTCTGCACAATGGCAGGATTTGGTGCGTATCCCGATGAGGCTGATGTCACCAATGGAGAGGGGCCGCGCAAGCGTTATCAGCACATGAAACGAGATGCCGAAAAGCGTAGCTACAATTTTACAACAATTGTGAATACACGCGTCCTCGAAGTGGAGCGCTGCTGGACTTTCCGCGAGGGCATGAAGCACTGGAACGTGTGCGTTCAATATTGGCTGGCGGTGAATGTCTACAAACTGTTTCCCATTAGGAAATATAGGTGAGTCAGCAACAGCTATGCAATCCACATGTGTGCTGTTGCCCCGGAGCTCAATAATGCTAGCTAACGTTTAGTTAATTGAGCTTTGCGCAAGCATAGTTGTTATTTTTATCGTCTTGATGTTGTAATTACTTTAATGGATACTTGCCCAGGCTAGAAAGGTATTCAACGTATCGCATTTAAGGAATTTCTCAACTTCTATTCTTTTATTAAACATTGTCTTTACTTTCAGAACGGGCGCTACGTTTCTATGCTCGGCGTATTGGCATGGCTTCCGCCCGGGTCACTACTTCTGTATCATGGGCGCACCATTTTACGTGCCCCTGGAAGACATGTGGCATAAGCTAGTGCGCAAGGATGCTGTCGGCCTGCGACGCACCGTAATCGATGTCATATTCTGGATATCCAAGTGGTTCGCCTTTAGTTACCTGGGCACAGCCTTTTTGCTGTCCTCGTTCGACAGCATTTGGCGCTTCTACAGCTCCGTCTATCACATTGGCTATATCACCTGGGCGCTTCTGGTTGCCCTGGGTCTGTACCTCACCAAGCTCAAGAAGGCGGCCGAACGCAAAGCAAAACGCACCGCGGACTCCATTGCTCCTTCTGGAGAACCAAGCACATCAAAACAAAAAGCGCAGTAAGAACATAATACAGGTATTCAGCACGAACCCAATTATTTAATAGATAAATTCAACAACTTTCCGTGTTCCATTTATACATAGATGTTGTAGAATGTTAGTCAAATTCTTACACCATAAGATATATAACGAACTTTTTATATTGTTCAAATTCTTGACAAAAAGCTAACGTTAAACCGTAACAGGTTCATGATTTAATATAAAAAATATATTAAATATCTTAACTACAAAATTATCAAAAAAAATCTTAGATCCCATTTATGATAGTACTTTATTGTGTACCCTTTAAATGTACACAAAATGTATTACAACTCCATCAAATATGTACAAACATTCTTGATCTGGATAATGAGATGAGGTGTATGAACCAAACGTAGCAATGTATAGTTAATGTTTGCTTTTGCTTTGTGTTAGCGAATTTAATTTGGAAAAACAAATGAAGTGGCTAAGAATATTAGAATTTATCAGTTCTATACACGCTTGGCTGTAAGGTTAATTATTTTCTTGAATTTATACAAACATTCAATTGAACTTATTGAAGTATAAAATGGTTATGTAGTTTTCTAAAATATAATCCTAAAATTAATTAGCGAATGGAATATATATTATTAAAATTCATCAGATCCTATGTTCCGAAAACAAGAGAAAAACAAATGTTAGAAAAAGTTTCTCAGATAGTGCAGCTTTATTTTTGAAAACAATATATTAAAATTAAAATACAAGCTTACCAGACTATAGTTTATTTTGTTTATTTTCAAACTTAAACATCATTAAAATATTTAACAAAGATTTCTAAAGATTTATACAAAAAAAATGCTGGTATTGAGATTGATTGAGCAATGCACTTTGAAAAAAAGGAAAAATTCGAGATGTATATAGATATGAATAATACAAGCAATTATAATAAAATTCGAGTGGAAAGATTATTGTTAGTGCTTCGATTTGTTCTACTGAATGCGAATAATTTTATGTCGACTTGTTGTATGTAATTATCTAAAGAAAAGAATACTTAAGCCAATTGATGGTCTCCATTAGCTCTATATTTAGATTAAGGATTTTGTAATTGTTTTTAATTTATATTCGATACCAGCTCGAATTTGGTCTAAATTCAATGCGTTTCGATTTCAGTTTCATAAATTTAGTTTCTTCAAATGTGGAGCATGGCAAGAGAGATTTCCTGTTGCGGTAGGTTATGCTTGTGTCTGCCAAATACCACAGAGGCGCGGGCGTAAGCGAGCGTCAGGCCGTTGACGGTTCGTCGGTAACCAGGGAAAGGCGACGCTTCACATCCTGCGTAGTGTTATAGGCGCCACAATGCACGCACTTGAGTCCGATAAAATGAAATTTGGTTTTTGAAGTCTGCAGAGAAATGAGAATTAATCGTATGTAACTATAATCTGTGTGTATGGTTGGCTACCTTGTGACAATCGTTGCAAAAGATGTGCACACGCTGATTCTCATACTTGAGTGGCACGGGCATGCGCAGTGCCTGGGCATCCAAGTACTCCCACAGCGCCGTCATGTCGATCAGCGATGTTTGGCAGGTGGGGCATGTGTAGTGACCCGAGGCCAGCAGCTGATCGAAGCACATTTTGTGCAACAGATGCCCGCAGTCCGGAATGTGGCATGGAATGCGCGACGTGTGTATATCGCCCAGGCAGACGGGGCAATGCGAACGCGAGATGTTTTCCACGCACTGCAAAACAAAATATATAAACGGTGAGTCCCCAATATGTTTTAATATATATATATTTTTTTTCATCTTGAATTAAACTTTTAAATTATTACCGGTTTCTTATCGGCACCTGTTACAGACAAATAAACTTGCAATATGTTTGCCAACTTTTTCGAGCCAAGAAATTTGATGTTTTACGCAACTTCATAAACTGGCTTTGCGTTTAAATTTCAAATACTTATAGCCATTAGGAAACCAGTTCAGCAATGATTCTGCATAAATTTGAATACTCAAGGCTACTATTTCTTCTAATGATCCACAATCTATCTATACACATATTCAATTCGCCAGCAGTGTCAGGGCTAGCCACAAGCAAAGCTTCCATTAAACTCGGGTAGTCCATATCGAATGCTCTTGCTGTGATTCATTTCCTAAAGCTATGCTCGAAATCAGCTTGATAGGGCTTTCGATTTTAACCAAGAGCCATGATATCATAGAGTACTTATGTGCTAGCCATAAACATGATAGAGTTTGACTTTGAATAATTGAGGTATATTATTTCCATAAATCAAATGTATGATTGTTAAATCGATTATAGAAACCAATTTATATGATATAGTACATGTCTGATGTATAATATAATACAATAAGTTATTTTTATCTACATCAAGTATCCATCCATTTAATTTGGTAGCTTAAATCATGAATCAGTTTTTATTACGCGCTCTCATTTAATTGTTGTTAAGACACATTTAACCTAAAGGCTAGACAATTTATGTGTGTTTACAATTCTCAAGTTGTTTAAGCAATGATTTAGTCGCTTGCGACTGAAGAAGAAAAAGAAAACAACAATATTTTAACTTTTAGCTAACTGATTAACCTGAACGCTTAATAGCTTTATATTATTTAATCGATTTGCATGTCAAGCGGTTTTTTTTCCAATGAATAAAGTATAAATATTAACTTAAATTCGAGCCATGCAAAGCCGAAGTTGCTTTAAATTATATTTAATATTCAAAAATTAATTCATATATTTATTTGGTTGATCTGCTTACCCTGTGTCCATCGATCTTCAGCTGCATCGGCAGACACATGTTGCATACCTCGCAGTGAAAGAAGTTGTGGGCACCACCGATGCGGCAGATGCCACAGCCATGACAATGATATTGCTGCTTGTCCGCATCATCGAACAGATTGCAAATGAGGCACGTGTACTGCAAAGGAATCATATGTATCATAAGAGAGAGAGGAAGCTGGAAGGCAAGTTCTTACCTTGCCGAAGCGTACGCCGCACTTTTCGCATTGCTCTTGCACCTTTTGCCGCGTGTTGCACTCGGAGCAGATGAGTTCGGTGAGTGTCTTACGATCGAAATGATGCGTTTCGTTCTCATCATGGCAGAAGCGGCACTTGTAAAACTTATTGCAGCACGGTGTCTGCAAAGAGTACAGGGTAAGAACTATAGTACATATTGATTTACGACAATATTTATTATAAAGTATTATATGGATTCGATGATATGTTAATAGGGACAGCTTCTTTTCATAATATCTTGTGAGCTTAAATACAATTTTAACAGACATACTGCCCAGCTATCCTCTACTTTTAAATACCTTTTATTAAAAGGGTTCATCAATGCATATTTAGAAAAGTATTTTAATATTACTGATATCTCATAAATTTACCGACTTACTTTATATTTTCTTGACTATATGCAACTTTATCGAAATCATCATGGTAAAGTGCATGTTAAGCTTACAATGAACATGCGAATGCTGCTCTGAGTCTTGGAAGCATCATGAACCAAGCGAAATTTAATTCCGAGTGAAGCTGTTCGTGAAATGAGAGTAAGAGGAAAAGTCTGCCTGGAAACAGGCGACTGGCATGTGGTACGTGACCAACCGTTCTGAAACAATTCCATTTATTTTGGTCTCGGATTGCGAGATCGGCTGGTCCGTGGAACTTAGCATTACCATAAACATTGCAGACACAACTTAATTAAGAGAGTCATAAACCCTAATTAAATCAAACCGAAACTGAAATCGAAGACAGGCGGCGCCTGTGGCCAATTTGTGGCAAATAAACAATGCTCAGCACAGAAACGCGCCGGTTAATTAGTTTCCCGCTAATTGCTTGGCTAAATACGCTTATTTCCCACATAGATATTTTCGAGCTGCCAATATTTTGTTACAATCATATATTCTGTGCACTGCAGCGTCCCCGATGACAATACTCAATCAGGTTTCTCGACCTCCAAGCGATTTCGACACGCCCATGCTCCAAACGAGCTGACCCTGAGATATCTTTACAATTCTAAAATAAAAATTCACTTGCACGCTTGACATATTCTTAATTGGCCACGCAACATTCGCAGCTCGAATTTTGGCATTCTACAGTGCGAAAACTTGGATTTTAGTTTTTCGATAATGGATAATAGACTTTCTGCCAGGGCTGGTTATTTACATTCTTCAATCTAAGTTTTGGTTCGAAATTGTTTTTTCCCACATTTACAACATTTTGACAAAACAATTGCCCGTTGTACTGAAAATATAATTTATAATATAATATATTTTCATATACAAGATGCGGGCTAGATTTGAGCTTTACCCAAAATTGGCAGCTACCAAATAAGGTTAGGTAAATGGCATAATTGAAAAGAAAGTTCTTTATACATTGAAGCTAGCTCTCCCTTGTTAGGTTCATTGGGTTCACACACTTTGTTTTAATGTATCGATTCAAAATTACTCATTATCAATGGGTTACGGGAATAAAATAAATAAGAGTTGTATAATTTTAGATGGAACCCCTCGAATAAGTCTATCTCAAAAGCGACCCAACTACTTGAACCGCTCAAACAATCTTGATATAATTTGTATTTCCTGAACCCAATGAAAATTGGTAAAAGGGGTATATTGTTTTTAAGAAAATATATGAAACAGCAAATAGTAGCATCTCTGACAACATCAATTATATATATTCATGATCAGCATCAATAGCCGAGTCGATCCTTGTCCGTTTTTTTAATCTGTCTGTCCATCCACCCTTCTATATGAACGCGTCGATCTCAAAACCCGTTTCCGAGCAATCGTATAAGTATATACAGATCGAAAATTTTTCATTTTATAGCCACATATTCTAATAAGCATCAGTTTGTATAGGCCACTCATATAATTTTAAGACCAAAAACCTCTTTAAACTCAATATCTATATCCCTAAGCATACAACATTTTCTTTTATAAATTGTGCGTTTGAATTTACGCCGAATAAATACACTCTTAAACACTTCAAATAGAAGTCTATATTGACTCATATGCTGGGTACTACACCACCTGTAGAGTAGACAGCATTCGGTGTGTTATTAAAAACTCTGATTTAATATTCTTGGGTGCATTGAAGCTGTGCTCTCTTGAGTGCTATAAATAAAACAAAAATACCTGCAATAAAAGTAAAGTACCCTTAAAGCCGGTTTCTTTGATTTTCCCGCTATCATAATTTTTATTTAGTCGCAAAACTAATTTCCATTCATTCTAAAGATGATGTCAAAAGCATTACGAACAACTTGGCTGGGCAGAAGCTTAGTGAAAAGCCGAGTTCATTAATATATTAAATATAATACTTAACGATGTACTAAATAACATAATCTATTACAAACAATAACTTTAACAAAGCTAAGACAATTTACCAAGCAAAAAAAAAAAAACGATAAAGTAAGAATATGTCCAGCACACCGAAGACTTAATGCCCTCGGCGACACTTTCTTTTGGCAGATATGGAGAATAGTGCAGCTCGAGAAAGCTTGGAAATATCTTTAAAAACAGAATATTTAGCCAACCTTATACTCCACCGATCTTTCCCATATATATGAGTATCGTCTTAGAACAATTAAACTCTGAGTTTGGTAAAGTAATTTTAATATTAAAAAAGGTTTCCACATCAGAACCAACTTTTCGAATATCGTTCCCATGACAACTATGATGGGGGCAGAGAGACATGGCTATATCAACCCGATTGTAATGCTTCTCTGCAATATATATTCTTTATTGGATCGGAGATGTCTCCTACTATGCGTTACACATTATTTATTATTAAATTACTCTCTTCAAGGGTATAAAAATGGAACAGTCGGATAGCTTGTATAGGTCGAACTCTAATCCAAACAACTGCAGAATGAGAACACGGTCTTATAAGCGATCTATACACACGTTTACGCATATTAGATTGAGTTCACCTGATTCAATAATAGGTAATATGTATATAAACATATGCATATGCATATATGAAACTGGCTAAGCACTCGGATAATTTAACGTGCACACACAGGCCCCTAAAACGTGCAAATAAATATCGAGCACACAAATTTCCGTGACATTTTTTAATTTTCAACAAACGAATGTTAAACGCCAAGCAATTTATGGATTTTGTTTACTTAAAATATGACTAATATGCAAAACAAGCAATTACCTAAAAAATGAACAATTATTATATGCTGGCAGAACAAACGATTGCTGTAAACAATTATTTACCGACTTCTTTTAAGACTTTTCACACTCTAAGCTTAACAGTTTGCATAACTTAGCTGTCTAGCACAGCTTCTAATGTCTCTGTCAAAGTTCATGTTAGTTGACAAGCGGAAAAATTGTGCGCAGAGGTGGCAACCTCACGACAACAAGCTGGCAACACCCAAGTGTTTGTTTGGCAAAACTCGACTCATTTTTTTCACCATTATTTTTTTTAATTTTAAAAATTCGATCAATTTTTTGTTGTTAAATATTTATATGTATTTAATGGTGCTGCCATATTTTGAAAACATTGCAAGGTGGCAACACCGCAATAGTAGGCATTACTTTTGATAGAAATAAACTACATATTTCTATTGAATTGACCTTACATTTGTGCTGTCTCATAAAGTAAGTTATTAATTTTGTATTTCCTTGTGAATCTATTCTTTCTAAAAATATTTTTTAGAACTTACAAATTGTAGATTCGACAAATATTAGTTATAAATCGATCCGCTCAAACTGTTCCCTTTTCTTATACATAAGTAAATGATAAAATGTCTAATTTAAAATTTTATAAATATTGATGAAATTCAAATTCTTAGCTGCTTGAATTTGATCATAAATCTCAACATGTACACACTTGAATACTCTTTAATCTCAGCGATCCATAATTTGACTATTTGCCAGGCACTGTGCCAGTCGGCATATATTTTGCCATCAGATATTTTTTTATGCCCAAACTGAAGCTAATTGCCAAAAAGGCAAGTGCTGAAAATACTTAGTACAGAGACGAGCGCTTTATTTATGCGCTCACAAAAAAAAGGAGGAAAAAAGTGCTAATATTTAATTTAACAATAAAGGTAAAGGCTCGTAATTTAGACGGCATCAATGGAGGTGCTAAATAGGCGCTCACTTTCAGAGGTACAGCAATCGAATTCTTTTTGGAGAGGAAAGGCCCTTTTTGATAGTGCTCGACTATTAGATACCCTGCACCTAAGCATAACTATTAATTTAAATTACAAAGTTTTTCTTTTCTTGATATTAGTGACCAATTTTTTGTCTTAAAATTTTATATGAAGTATATACGAAAGTATTGCTCTCTAGCTCAACTTTGTCAGAGAAACGGACGGATTATGGGGCTGACATATTATTTATTTATTTAATATAAAATACCCTTCTTTAAATAAACCTCTGCATGTTATAACAGTTTTCACAACTTTCATTCCTGCCTATCATTTTTTTAAGGGTAAATACTCAAGTATGCTTTTTTTGTTATAAGCAATAAACTATATATCTTTTATTTCTCTTTCTGTTATTGTTGTTAGATTGTACACAATTCACAGGCAAACACTAATTCTCCCAATTGAGCCCAAATTATGCAGGCACAGAACGTACAAAAGAAATGTAGCAACAATTGGGAGTATCTGTGTATCTGTATCTGTATCTGTATCTGTAACCATATCTGTATCCGTATCTGTGTTTGTATCTTGATCTGTATCTGTATCTGTATCTGTATCTGTATCTGTGTCTGTATCTGTGTCTGTATCTGTATCTGTATCTGTATCTGTATCTGTATCTTCGTCTATATCTGAATATGTATCTGTATCTGGGTCTATATCTGTATCTGTATCCGCATCTGTATCTGTATCTGTGTCTATATCTGAATATGTATCTGTATCTGTATCTGGGTCTATATCTGTATCTGTATCTGCATCTGCATCTGTATCTGTATATGTATCTGCATCTGCATCTGTATCTGTATCTGTATATGTATCTGTATATGTATCTGTAACCGTATCTGTATTTGTGTCTGTATCTGTGTCTGTGTCTGTATCTGGGTGCGAAACCTACGTTTGTTTGTTTGTTTAGAAACGTATAAATAAGTTAAAATGTTCGTTTGTGGAGGCAACTTCAGGAAAAGCGCCACAACGACGAAAACCAGAAGCCGACAAGACGAGGCGCCTCCGTAAATTGCCACGTGGTCGACATAATCAATGATATTTTATTTTAGCAAAAAGCGCCACAAATTGCAAATTACCCCCAAATGCTCAGATGGTAAGCTGATTAAAATGTTAACCTTGGGTTGCTTTTATTTTTTGGTACTTCAATTAGCAACAATTGAAAAACGCAAGACTTTTGAAAAATGTTCCACATGAAAGGAAATAGGTTCAATAAAAGTGTGCGCTTCCTAAGATCATGCGATACATTTTATTTTAAGACACAGATTTACTGGGCAATAGCCTTCTTAAAAGATACTGAAATAAAATTAATCAATAATTTCACGACGTAGAAATTTGTATGTTCATTTAATTGATTGAGCTTTAAATTATTTTTATTGTATTAATTTAAGCACGAAAATGAGAATAATTGCTATTTAAATTTGATCAAAATTTGTTCACTATGAACCGAACTTAAGATCTACTGGACCTTAGCCTGAAACAGACCATTTGTTAATTTGGTTATTTAATATTTATATTATATTTGAACATTTTTTTTCTGCCAATTCATTATAATAATGTCTTTTGTGCATGATAGGAAAGTTTATATCATTGGATCCCTTTTATTTCTATTCAATTTCAATTATATTTCTTTTTACAAGCATTGCTTTAAGGGACTCATAGAATTGATCTGCTTCATATATATTTGTATATAAAGGAGACTTAGTTTGTATTACAGACTAGCATTGGAATAGACGTTGCAAAGCTTACCACAAACATGGCGCGTCGCTTGTAGTGCGTGCAACCAAAACGCAATGATTCCGGCGTCGTTGGCTGTGTTGCATCAATATTGTTGCACTTGTTGCTGTCGTGTGGAAATTGCTCGTGTTGCTGTTGCTGTTGATGTTGCTGTTGGTGCTGTTGCTGTCGCTTGATGTGGGCGACAACAGCAACATCCTTGATGACAATGTTGCTAGCCTCCATGGCGGATTCGACGTGATTTCTATTACAGTATTTGCTGCTGTTGCCGTTGCTGTTGCTGTTGCTGTTGTCAACAATATTGCTGTTGCTGCCATCAAATTTGAGAGCCGGCGTTGAGTGTGATTTTCGCAAGTGAACCGCAGCAGCAGCAGCTGTTGCTGTGCTCGTCGCTGTCACTGTAACGGAGGCGGGGGTGTTGGCAGACGTTGAACACGACGCGGCGCACGATGCCAGCGCCGTTGGCGACATAATCAGCTGTTGTCGCTATCGCTGTAGCTGTTGTTGTTGCTGTTGTTGTTGCTGTTGTCGCGCTATCTCAGTTACAGTTGCTGTTGCTAAAATAGCAAGCGACGGTGATGATGATGATGATTGTGCTATTGCTGTTGTTGTTGTTGCTGCTGCTGCCGCTGCCGCTGCTGTTGTTGTTGTTGGTGACGCAGCCTCTAGTGAGGTCGCCAGCGACTGCGACGACAAAGTCGTTGACGATGAATTTAAATTGAGTTGATTGAGCTCTTTTGTATTGGTAAATGTTTCTACATCAATGTTGCTTTTATTGCTGCTGTTGTTGTTGTTGTTGTTATTGTTGTTGCTGCTGCTGCTTTTGCTGTTCTTATTGTGGTTTTCACTTAGCAATATGTATTCTTTGCTGCCGCTGCCGTCGCTCGAATTTGTTGCAGCCCCTGTTGCCCAGTCAATTGTTGCTGCTGTTGGTGCTGTTGCAGTCGTCGCTGCTGTTAATTGCTACCATCGACGCTGCCTTTTCAATTGCTTCAATATTTAAATGATTTGCCGCTGCCGTTGCGACATCAACTTTGTCTTTGTTCGTATTGAAGCCGTGCCTGTTATTGTCTTCGGGCTGGTGTTGCTGACTTTGGCTCATCAACAACAACAACAACAACAACAACAATCATACAACAGTAGCGTCTCTTGATATTGTTGTTGCTGCTGCTGGTGCTGTTACTTTTGTTGCCCTCTGCAAACTTTCGTTTGTGTAACTTTTTATATTGAATACGCGCTTAGTCCACGCCAGCAAATATGTTGCTACTTCCAAAGCTTTAATAGGCAACAGTGTGCCAATGTTCATTTGTTTGCCAAATTAAAAATGTTACAATAACAAGATTATGTAATTGTATTAAACATTGCTGGCATTGCTCAGCCTTTTATATTATTCTAAACAACATAAAAACAGACACATTTATATTTTGTGGCAAAATTCGTAGAACAAGAATTCATCTTTTAAATGTTTAGAATATTATTTTAAATTATTTGAATCGAATCGAGTAATGTTTTATTTAAAATGTTGAGTAAATATGAAATTGTATTTTGAATTCGCTCAACAAGACATATATAGCAATATATAGAATGGGCGGAGTTTTATATAAACATAAATAATCACATTTATTTAATGCACAAAGATATCTTATTTATTTAAATATTGTTTCACTTCCTCTGACACTTGATATTGAAAAACTTTAAACTTCACAAATTGTCATTTTTGTGCACAGTTTTAATAGACTTGTCACAGTGTGCGACGACGGCACACTTGTTAATTTATAATGACGAGCTGCGAGTGGTACGTTGAGACTTTCGCTTGCTTTTTTGACTGTGTTGAGCCACGACCGAAGCTGAGCTTTTCAACTATGAATGAAGGCGCTATAAAACATGACTCTCACGCACACATACACACACACGCACAAGCAGACACACATTCAAGTACGCTCATACAGAGATACTATGCTATGTAAATTAACGATTATTTGCTAACAATCTTATATGTACTGTATTTAAATACATATAAAATGCACGTATATGTATTTTTATTATCTTGCGTTTCGACAAGAAAAGCCCTGAGTCTTGTTTACTTAGGTTTTTTTTTTTATATTTTTTTGCAATTATAAAGGGAACACGCCGACAATAAATATTGAAACTGTGCACAAATTAAATACGCGAACGCGAACCGATAAAAAGGCCAAGCGGAGAACCAGACAGTCGCCGATTGAACAGAAAACCCGCTAAGCAATAACAACAGTAACAACAACAACAACAACAATAACAGTAACGAAACCAGGCCCGAAATACGGATTTCGTTTATTAACGTTCCATATTTACGCACGAACGCACGCACGTACGCACGCACGCACGCAGGCGCACACCAATACACAAATACACACAAATAAACACAAATACATATGCAAAAAGCATGAAATACAGCTTGCATTCTGCTTTAAAACGAACAAAATAAAAGCAAGCATGTTGAAGACATTTTGATAATCTGGTTTCATATTTGCAATTACTTTATCAACATATTTTACGTTTTTCACATATATTTATATATATATATTTATTTATATATGTATGTGTGTATTATTTTGTTTTTGTTATTTTATGCAATTTGTTGTTGAACGTGTTTTTTTTTAAAGCCATTTCTTCGTGTGCATGGTAATTTGTAAAGGTTTTCCGTTTAAACATCAAACTGCCATCATCATTTTATACTATTTGAGTATTTTATATACTTTTTGTTAATTATAATTTATTAACAATAAAAAATATAGTAGTGAAACACACCAGCGAATACCACAACAACAACGACAACAACAGCAACAGGCGTCAATTAAATTAAATAAATGAGTGCACCGCTCAGCGGTTAAACGTTCGCGCGCTCGTCTTGTTTTGCTTCGCGCGGGCTCCAGCTTTCAACTGACGAGGCGACCATGCCGAGCATTGAACTACACGTGTGGGAGCCCCAAGAGAGTGAGAAAAAGAGAGAGAGAGAGAGAAAGAGATACTCTTTTAGTCTTGTTTCAAAGAAATCGAATAATACAAATTTCTACCTCATATGCATGTTATTTGGGGAAATGCTTATGTATACATATGAAAACGCAGTTAATTCATTATTCAAATTTTATTAATAATATTCTATCCTGAATATTATTCTTTGTTTTAAGGCAAATATTAAATGTCACTTATTTTTGTCGCATACTTAATTCTGATCTTCTCCCAACCGTTACTCTCCGCTTTGGCACTTGTTGTTGCTGGTGCAACAGCAACATTATCTAAAGCTTTCGATATTGCGAGATAAAACGTGCTTTTGGTAGCATCTGCAATGCCGCTAAAGCTTAAAAATGTCAATCGCAAACATAATTTGCTTTTATATTCTTAAATATTGTTAAAATTCAAGAGTCAGCCTTTAATTTTTTATACATGTAATTTACCAATTTTCGGTTTTCTTTTATATGTTAGTTTATTAATAGTCCTAGCTAAAAACGTTAGAAATATCGATATACTTTTTTTAAATTCTGTTAAGCGATAAATCGATCTCGAGTGCCTTGAAAGTAGTGTTGGGTAAGCACCAAAGTTGCTCGTGTACATATTTACTTATTTTATTTTGGTAATTGATCACGTTAGGTGCACTAGACAATGTCGGTAATTTTTGAGGCATAATTTACCGCTAAAAACGACCACCAAAAATCAAAAAGTCAAAATCAAGTCAGCAGGGCCTCAAAACTATTTCATCCAAAGTCAGAGTCACTTATAAAGTTGTATTTGTACTCAAATTTATTTGGTTTTGTTCTAACAACCATAAATATGTAAATGCATTAAAAAGTGATCCATTCTTTTTCAGATACCAAGTAACAAAAATCGATGCGAAGTCACCGCCGCTAACTTGACGCACATCTTAAATACATGTAAGTCGATTGTATTCTGGTATTTTTTAAAACTATAAACAAATTATCGATATATATTTTGCTGCCGGCATATGCATAAAATACTGACAATAGCCGTACATAAACATAACAACTAAGAACATGGCAACATGTCTCTCTTTTCAATATCAAACCGAATGATAAACAAATCATTAATTAAAAACTGCTTAAACTATTGCCAAATAGCAACTGCGCTGCGCCCAAAGAAGGGCAAGTCATCGCGCAAAGAGGTGAAACACTGCTGACAAAAAATGTTTACATAACTTTTAATCGTAAATAATATGCCAGGCACAATACTTTTCGGATGCCAAAAGAGTGAGAACTGTTGGTGGTAAAGGGGGAGACGGCTGCGTCTCGTTTCTGCAACTTTGGTGCAACGAACGCGCCGGACCCGATGGCGGCGACGGTGGTAATGGTGGCCATGTCATCTTCCAGGCCTCCAACGATGTGCGCAACTTTAATCATGTGAACAGCGTGCTGCGCGCCAACGAAGGCGGCATTGGCAGCGCCAAGGATTGTCATGGCAAGAATGCCAAGCATACGGTGATTAAAGTGCCAATTGGCACAGTTATACGCAATGCCGAAGGTCTGATTGTGGCCGATTTGGCCAATGCTGATCTAATGTTTGTGGCCGCACGTGGCGGAGCTGGCGGCAAGGGCAATCGCTTCTTTACCACCGACACGGAGACCAGTCCCAAAGTGTGTGAATATGGACCGCCCGGCGAGGATTGCAGCTACATTCTGGAGCTACGCAGCATGGCCGAAGTGGGTCTGATTGGTTTTCCCAATGCCGGCAAGAGCACACTACTGAACGCGCTGACGCGTGCCAAGCCAAAGGTAGCCCCATATGCTTTTACAACGTTGCGACCACATCTGGGAACTGTGCAATACGATGATCATGTGCAGCTGACCATTGCAGATTTGCCTGGCCTGGTGCCGGATGCACATCGCAACCGTGGGCTGGGCATACAGTTTTTAAAGCATGCCGAGCGCTGCACCTTATTGTTATTTGTGCTCGATGCCAGCTCGCCGAATCCGTGGATGCAGTATAATCAACTCATGCACGAACTGGAGAAGTTTGGCGGCAGTTTGGCCCAACGGCCGCAACTGGTGGTGGCCAATAAAATGGATGTGCCAGCCAGTGCCGGGAATTTTGAGCAGTTACAGCAGCAGCTGAGACAACCTAACCTTCTGGGCATCAGCGCCAAAATGGGACACAATCTGGCGCAACTCCTGAGCAGCATACGTGCCGCCTACGATCGACACAAGGCTCAGGAAGAGGAGCAGAGAAAAGCTTAGTCGATTTTCTAAATATAAACATTTAGCTGTTATTATTTACTTAAATATACATATTACAAATTAAACCTATATATTAGACACCCTCCTCAGACGTAGGAAGCCAGAAAGCCATGTTTGTGCACGCCGAGGCTAGCATCATGTACTTGGGATTAAACTGTACACATTGCACGGGACCGGGATGATCGCCATTTAGCACGGAGACCTTGTTGCCAGTATCGGCATTCCATATATGCACGCGGCCATCGGTGCTGCCGGAGAAGATGAACTGCGAGTCTGGGCTGAAGCTCGCCTCAATGGCAATGCCCTTGTTGTTCGGATAGCCTGTGAATGTTTGCAGCGGTGTGCCATGGAAGGCGTCCACAAGCCGTATAACTGAGCCATTTGTACTGATCAATATGGTCTTGCCGTCACGCGAAAACTTCAGGCCCGTCCAGTCGCATTCCTTCTCCTGGTTGAGCTTGAACGTGACAAATGGACCCTTATCGAACGAGCGCAGATCGTACAGTTTGATGCTTTCCGAATTGACGCCGGCTGCAAATATGAGCCCCTCGGGATCGTAGGCGGCAATGGGCCGGCCCGATAGATGCATCAATCCTTGGCAATTCGGTGAACGCAAATCCCACAGGCGCAGCGTTTTGTCCAATGAGCCAGACAGAAAAGTATCCTCCACTGGTGAAATGCATAACGAGATGACTTTTTTTGTGTGACCGGGAAAGTAACGCAAATATTTGTTGTCATGCAGACTCAGATATCGTATAGTGTCATCCACCTTTGTTGAGCTATGTATGGCCGTATTGTTGGCATGCGTAAAGTGTATCAAATCTACACCATATTTTTTCGAATTCACCGTGCGCGATTGGGTTCCCTTCTCACAATCGTATATAACAATTTGGTCGTCCTCGCTGCAAGAGATCAGATGCTCTCCGTTCGGTGCAAAGTCAATAGCGTTGATTTTGTCCGTATTTTCGCGAAATATTTTGGCAACTTTAAAGCTGCGCACAACTGAATCAATTAGTTTGATTTTCATTTTGACAAACGTTTGTTTTTAATCACGGCACAATGTATATTTTTCTATTCTTTTTGCGACAAGCCACTAGTGATGCGCAATGTGCCGCAACGAGGGCAGTTTCTATTTGTTATCGATAGGTCTGCTATATCGATACATTTGGCAGCATATATACTTTTTCAAATGCCTTAAATTAATATTGAGCGCAAATACTTTAAAAAATCTGTTGCATCTACTATTTATATAAATATGCGTAAAATAAATATTGCAAGTAAATAGCAATTATTATTTATATAAATATATAAGCATATATATAATATGCGGTACCCAATCAAGAATAAAACACAAAATTCGGTTTAAAAAATATGAATACAAATATTTAATTAACAAAAGCAAGCAACAATTTATTTTATCCACACATAGTCGTGCGTTATATATACAAATATATATTGTAAGCACATATCATTGGTCTACTTTTGCAGGTAGCGTAATTTCATAGGTATTATTATTACCTAATAACTCTTTAGGGTCGACATAGTTGATACCCTCTTTTCCACGAGCAAATGGTGTTAAGCCATTTGTTTGTAAGTAAAAATCGCCATGAATACTAAAATTGAGATTACAAATTAAATATAAATTTATATCCGCGTATCCACTTCAACTTACGTTGTGGGACAGTTGTGACCCATGTATATAGGTTGCTCAGATTCAACAATTTTCTTCTGTTTAAAATCGTCCCAGCTTTTGGCGGCCACCGCATCGAATTTAATTGGAAAACGATCGGATACGCTTTCGGCCCAGAACCACCAACTGCGCCGGTGGCTAGACAAATCATTATCGCTGAGCATTTTATAGTTGCGTTTCGGACAACCCGGCTGCAATGTTTTGCCACCATTTGGCCAAAAGTCTGCTGTGCCCGTGCTGCTCGGTGCTCCATATAGCCAGGCATCTGTATGTATAACGTCCACAAATTCGGCATCATGTTTGTTTAGATGGGAGCCCAAGCCAGCGGTGAGGTAGAAAAGCGGAAATGCCGGATCCAAGCCGGTTATTCTAGGAATGCATGATATCATGTTAATTTCGATAAACTCGATTTAACAACACAAACTCACCTTTTTATTTTCATGACGCCTTTGGTGCGTTTCAAAATCTCGCGACCAATAATCCCCGCCATCTGACCACCCAGCGAGTGACCCACAATATGGAATTTCTCTATGTCCAAGCCATGCTCGAACATGTCTAGCAAAACCTTCGCCAGCTCTGGTCCCAACTGTTTGGCATTGACCACAGCATCGAATATGTAATTACCATCCGCCAGCTCGCCCCAGTCCAGCACAATTAGATTTGTATCGTTACGCTCCAAATATGCCTCGGCGATAACATGTATGCTCTCGACATCCGGATCCTCCAGATAGCCATGCAAATATAATACCGTATTTTTGCTCAAATCCAAATTCTCATCTTCCAGCAAGTTCTTGGAGTCATGCAGATCATAGATATCACTATCAGCTACGCTGGGTCTGATAATATAACAAAAACAATTATGTTCGGATTGGGTGGATAGCAAAAGTTTAACAAATGCATACAAACCCATAGTACAATATGAATTTAGCTGTAGTTAAATCTGCCCTGGAGGTTTTGAGGCCACATAATAACCCTGAAGAAGTAGTACAAAAGTAAGAAACAAAAAAAAATTAAATAAAGTTAGTTAATTACGTAAATATTTGATGGTTGTGGGAAAGGTAAATGGTCAAAGATAATAAAATTTCACAATGCTGGCATATTAATTAAGATTGTGGGTTTATCTACGCCAATACACGAATTGCTAGCTTGGATAGTCAGGCATTTTTTTTACTTTAGTATAA